TATATATATATATATACGTATTCCCCGTATATACATACGCCCCAATATGTAAATTCATGTCTTGAGACATTAACAATCCCGTGTATACGTCGTATGTATATGTTGCGGAAAGTAACGAGACCGATTTTTTAAAACACAATGTCGACAACATCGAGGATATCAAAACCGCAGTTCAATTTAAAAACTTTAGAATATTACAAATGTAACAAAATTACGTATGAATTAAATTATTCAATGTGTGTGCGTCGAATCACTGAAGCAATCAAATCGTACTTAATTTAATCGCGATGGTAAGGTTCTAAAATTTACATTGAACCACTGTTTCAATATTCGATGTTGGCCTTTTAAAAAGTTAGTTATCACTTTTATGATCGGCTTTGTAATCGGAAGTGTAAGATAGTTGGAGGACACATACTTCCTGCTCACCTCAATAATTTGATTAGAGTTTAATTGCACACTAACATTTTTAAATTGACTTGTTACTTGTTTGACACGTCAACACATATGTTCTATGTGTTCTTATGTTACTTCCTTTGCTAGTGTGCTATAGAAAAAACTAAAATACATATATATTATAAGATAAATTTTTTTTAACATTCAAATCAACGCTCGCAGATCGCAAAGCACGCGCGACACTCGAAGTATTTCAAAGATGAAAGTCAATAATCAGCAACGCATAATTAACAAATGCTTATTTTTTTATCGCAATTCACTTCTCTACGGTGCGGAACTTGTCCAATTTAAGAGGACAAGGATATTTTATTTAGTTGCATGTAAATATAAGCGTATAATGTTTTATCTCTTAAAATATTAATATATCATGATTATTAGATTATTACATGATATATTGCATAGAGCATCGATTTTTTCATAAATAGACATAAAATAACTTAAAATAATATATGTTATATCCTATACCTATTTCCATTATATATACATCATATTGTATAAACAGTCTCAACTTTGAAATTTATATCTTATTTGTTTATTTATTTAACAATAGTCTTTGCTTTACGCATACAAATATACTTATTGTTAGAAAAAAATAATTTTTTTTTCCACATTTTAAAAACAAGTATCAAAAGTTTTATCAACAAGTTTCGAAAGTAAATTTATTTAATTCATAATAATGTTTTTGAAAAATCGATATTTATTATAAATCTTAAAAGAAAACAACTAATTTTAATTACTTTTAAATTTCATTATTTAAAAATAGTAAAATTATATTTTTTCTCATATTATAGAAAGTAATATATATTTTTTGTCTCCTTTTTTCTCAAGAAATACCATGTAAATATAATTCTTGATATTAAAAAGGAAAAGAAGAGAATGCAGAATTCTACACACACTTGCAATATATAAAATATTTTTTTCATCCTCCAAATTTGGATAAGATTCGCACCGTGTGCACTCTACTATCCATTGTCCTTTCTTCGCAGCGACGAGCGTAAGGACGAGAGGACCGTGATACGCGCGAAAAAAAGAAATGCGAATATCGTGTGTAACGATCTTCATGAAAACCGAAAGCGAGTAATAATAAAAATGTATCCTCGGATATCACGATCGAAAGTATGACAGAAAAAGTCGCAATATATCACACGAAGAGACTCAAGAGATACACCGAATATGTTTTACGTACGTTTTAAGATAGCGAATATAACACACGTCGTCGTCTTACACGGCGATCCACTGAAATAACAAAAATGGCATTATATATATGATCGAGAATTTCATGATATTTATTTAATTGCTATATATATAATTATAAATACAACTACTTATATATATATATATATATATGATAAAAAGACGAATCGAACGACCTATGATACATTGATCGTGGAGTGACCTTGAAGTTATCTTGAAAAAATTTGAGATGACCTTCTTTTTGACACTTGCACCTAAAAAAGAACTAAAACGATCAAAAAAAATGTAGCACTTTCAAAATAATTTAATTTTTGTCTTTAATCTTTTTGTCTAAAATCAATATTTATAAAGATACCTTAGAAGGCAGTTTCTAGTGACTCACCCTGTATATAAAAGAAGCAAATATAAGTAGTTTACGTAGCGATACAACGCAT